CAAAGTATTGATTTTCTACCCATTTTTCGCCTGAAAAACTTGAAGATGTGCATTTCAGAAAAACCTAGGCCTTTCTTTTTTGACCTTGGTCCCTTTCCTTGCCCTGGTTGTCTTTGCACTTAGCGTCAACAGCTCGATCAAGTACACCTAACGTAACTGTTCCATTTTCGTGCTTTTTGCACTCCATCTCAAACCCATCCACCTTAAACGTTGAACGTTAGCAGTCTGTAGAGAGGAAAGTTGTATGATCAAATGACTCACGGATTTCCTCTCGCCATCCTTAATCAGTGCGCCTGACGAAGTGACACATCCAACAAACTTTGAGACACCATTCTCACCACACTTGAACTGGAACGACTTCTCTTGCCATTCCGAGTCTAAATAGGGCAGTTTTTCCTTCTAAAAAAACCTTTCAAAGTGTTATCGAGAACGTCTGCCATGTTCATATTCGAAAAAGCGCAACATTAGCAAGGATGAGACTGAAAATGATCTCAAGGTCAACGGAACTTGTAGAACAAAGCGAAAAAACCTTCTTGGCGCAACTTTACAGTTTACCCGAGATGAAGTGATTTATCATCTTTAAATGTTGCAAAAAGAACTCAAACTAGATATTTTGCAGAATAAATGTTGCAGAAAATTTGTTTCCGAACAAAGGAAATATTTTTGCAAGGCTTATGGCGTCAAAATAAATTAACTGAAGGATTGGTAATTCTTCTTAGGCTATAGGTGTCCTTAAAATTCTGAAATTCCATTTCTAAACGAATTATCATACTTTCTAACAGCCTTTGTCTCCTTTTCTTTCTCTTTTTTCTCCGCTGTTCTAAAAATTAACCGCGTATGTCTGCAGACTTCAACCTATTCAACCAAACACTTTGTTTTTAACCGAACCAAATGGATGTCCATTGCATGATGCATGCTTGTTCATCTTCTGTTGCAATGTAATTTGTCCTCCTGGGCTCATTTTACACTCCCAGATGTGATCACCAATATCAACTTCACCATTAACTGGGACCTGAAAACTTATCATAG